TATTTTTATATATATATAAAAAAGCACTTGGTTTCCAGGGGCATTCATAATGAGGTCCACAGTGTTTAGAACTTAAAATTCTTTTTTTCTTTGTTTGGAACAGTGTTTTAAAGTTTTGTTTTAATTAAAAGACAGTCTTAAAGCATGTTGGACTTCAAAAACATGAGTTTGTTCATGTCTTCTGGACTGAGTAGCCGTCTCCTTTTGATTAAGAGAGCCTGCTCACACATATTTACACATTCACTTCTGGCACCAACAGCAGGCACTGCTAAGAGCCAAAAGGCTAGCTTGGCTAGTTTTGTATGCTTTTGGGTAACACATGACCAGTACTGAAACAGGTCAGGGGTGGCCTGGAAGAGAGGTTCTTGCAAATAATCATAGACTTCATTTTTCCCGAACCAATCTTCTTCCTGAGCTGCTGTGGCTTCCCCTGCTGACCGAGGCTTCTTGGTTGAAGGTTCAAATTCTGTTTCTTCTGCCCAGGACTCTTTTACCTCATTGATCAACTCACACACCTTGCCAATGATCTCTTCATGCTGGTATGGTGGGACGGGCCGCAGTTTCTGCTGAGGGTCTAAGATCATGGCTACCTTGTGTGCTGAATGAACTTTGAAGTTCTCCTTCAGCGCCTCCAAGAAAAGGTGGCAAAGTTTGCTGACCACACCAGCATCGTTAGCTTTGGAAGTGAACAGTTTCTCCAGTTTGACATAGGTGGGTAGTACCAGCTGCAAGGTGGGCCGGCTCTCATTGCTCAGCTCTATCACCGCCTGCTTCACCGGAGCCAAAATAGCTGCCAGGTTGCTGAGCAGATGTTTGTTCAGGTTTTGGATGAGGTTCATCTTCTTGGCTCTGCTGTAGAACTCGCAGATCTGCTCATAGCGCTCATGGACAAGCAGTAGGGAATCAGTGACTGAGTTCCAGCAGGGCGGGGGAGAGGTCTCTTCCAGGGAGCCAAAGGTCTCCTTCGAGAGGCCTGTGGATCCCGCCAGATCTTCACAGACATTCAGGAGCTCGATCACTTCGTGCATATTGCGGGCCTGTAGTGTTCGCTTGTTGAGCACACTCTGCACCACTGAGTTCAAGGCACAGGCCGAACAACGCAAGCACATGCCTGCCTTGGAGAACGCAGAGGAATTGACTTTGCAGTCTGTGACATACACCGTCCTGATCTCCGACATCACAAACTCCGAGAGCACGTTCTGGACCCAGTGGTGGATAAAATCACCATTATCTCGAATGTCTACACCCTTAATTCCCAGGACGTAACTCTTGATGTGGTTGCCTTCCACCTGATAAGCTGTGAGGATGTAGCACGAATCGGGGCCGATGCTCTGCGAGTGGCAAGTGACGCCGATGCCCAGGCATGCATTGCTGCCCAGCGCACAGGTTACCTTCACCTTCACCTGGTTGTACATCCGAGGCAAATGCTTCAGAGCCAGTGTGTTGAAATTGCCAAGGATTTCAGTGACTGAGAAGGCACCATAGCGAGCTCCACTATCCACCAGGGTCTGTGCTAGCTTGATGAACTCCTTCCCGCTCACCACACTCAGAGCCCCAAGGTCAGTGCACATCACCCTCAGGAGCCTCTCGGCAATGTTCTGCCGCTCCTTCTCCGGGATCGCGAGGATGCTGCAGTGAAATACAAGGAGGGGGAGAAAGCACCATATAAGCATTGCTCCTCTACAGCAGGAGAGAGGAGGGAGTCACAGAACAATTCTCAGAGAGACCCAAAGAGGTGGAATGTGACCAGATGAAGAGACATCTCCAACCCTGGACTTCCTCCCCTGAGGATTTCTGGACAGAGAAACCCCTCCGTTCAGCAAAGGGACAGGCCTTGCTCTTTGCTTGGAGCAGCAACGAGCTTGTCTGCATGCTGCTCCCCGGTGTGGGAACTGAGACAGAGAACACACTATCTACTCACAATCCAGTGCACCAACCAATGCTGTCCCTGTGGTGTTCACTGAGGAACTGCCTGGCTAAGTTACAATATCTTGAGTGCCATTCGCTATCCATGTCTAAGGGCTGGTGGTCACAGCTTAGCCCAGCTGGAAAACTGGACACCTTCCCAATTTTGTGATCTGAGCCTTTCCAAGATTGTTATTTTAAGAGAAGGTTCTTCAATGAAGCATACAACTTCCTGCACCATCTCCAACAGTGCTGGAGCCCAACTTTCCATTTCTTTCACTGAACACCAGCAACTCCACTTTTTGTGGCTCATTTCAGGCAATATGAATGTCATTTTTGGCCATGCCAGAACACAAAAGCCTCAAGTCTTTCTATCACCCTTCCCCCAGGCTGCTCAGCTCAAGTGCTTTGGAACTGATTTTCCACAGGGCTATATTTTACCTTTTCCTGTGGGGAAGCTCAGAGGATGAACTGAGGATAAAGCAGACCCTGGCTGCCTGCTAGCACAGGGAGTGACAGGTTATGCCTATGTCACACCATGACAACTGGACTAGTCTTTCATTTCCAGGTTGGGAAGTCTGACCTTGGCTCAGAAGTTAACTTTTTCCAGGAGTTCCCAAATGCATCTTCCCTGCAAACCTTTCCAACCACCTCTCCAGGGCTCCCAGTACTTTTTGCACACGAGCCCTCCTGTAATGGGAACGGGTGCTCTGCTCTGCAGGGGAGTACATGAATTAGAGATGAAATCAAGTGCACTTAGGCAAGATGAAGGCCTTGTGCAATGCCCATCACTGCTGCACCCTGACAGCCACTTGTTCCAAGTGGACAGGAAAGCCCAGGATGGAAGAGTAAACACCGCTACGTACTGTTGTTGGCATTATTTCTTTGGAGCTGTGGTTTCCACTTCTCTTCTACAACAGCTAGAGGTGATCTGGGCTGGCTAGAGGCAATATTGTTCTCGTTGTCCGCTGTGGGGCAAGAGACAGGGAGGTGTTAGAAGCACAAGGTAATAATGCTTAAAGCACAAAGAAGAGGAAACAGTACCCATCTGAGTAGCATTTATTTCTGGTCCCCTTCACTAAGGTGACAACAACCTACTACATTCTCTGTAGCTTTTAAGCAGTTGTCAGTGAGCTGGCACAGTACTGTCAGAAACCTTGAAAAGCCTTTGGACTTGCAATCTCACACCTCCCAAAATGGGACTGCAGTGACAAGGGCTTATTCTGTGCATCAGTGACATTGATGCCATCAGCACACATGAGGAATGTCTCCCCATCAACTGGAGCTGCACACCAGGAATAGACGGTCCTTGTACAGCCTGACCTGTGCAATTTGCTTGCCTTCAAAATGAAAGGAGGTGTAACAAACATTTATCCTTCTGCCTTACTACCCCTTTCTGCACTGCAAGTCTTTCAAGCTCTGCTCAACTCCTCTGTACCCGTAGATCTTACTACGATATGCACACAGGGTTTCCTCCCATGGTAGAGAGGGAGCCAATCTGCTCTAAGGCTGCTCACTGCTGCCTCAGACTGGAAACAAGAAGGAAAACGCCCCAAAGTTTCTGGAGTGTGACCAAAGATTGCTCCTCCCTGTGGCTGCAAAGACAGCAACTGCTCCAGGGTCTCTGTATTCATGCTCCCAATTCTATATATGTAAGTGGGCTGAACACTTTGGCTGCCAACCTGATGGGATCTTTCAAGGAAATGCAGAATCAGTAAATACTGCATTGTATCCATGTCCTTTCCTCTCCTGTGCCCCAAGAACTTCTCCCCCACCCTCTACAGGAAACTTTCTATTTCTTAGTGTGCTTCACTATGAAACTGCTCTGAAGTAGGCTGTGAAACAGCAATAGAGTGGACAATGAAGAGAGGTGGAAGAGGAAAGAGAAAGATGGAGAGACTGATAACCAGGCTGAACAGAAGGACGTAATTAAACCCAAAGAAGACAAAACAGGCCCTTTACCCATCATGGATGGACTCATCTTGCCTAATTCTGGACATCTTTGTTAGATACACAAAGCCCCTTAGGGTTCCTTTTACACTCAGTGGTGCAAAACAGGCTTAAGAGTGTGATTAATTCCATTTACTCACCCAGGTAGAACTAGATGCCTCTTGTACAAGACCCATCATGATCTGAACTCACCTGGAGTTAATGACTTCTTCTCCACTGATTATAAAGGAAGTCCATGCTGACCAGCAGCTCAGGTAGCAGTAACTATAGCCTAGGCACACCAGCACACCAGGATTCAGCGAAATCAATCCTGCCTCAGCACTCCTGACAGCAGAGCAGGAATTAGAGGAATGCCTTGTTAAGGCACACACAAGTTCTTTGCTCTGCAGCCCAGGTCAACCTGGTGCTGGGCACAGCACTGGACCGCCCTTCAGAACAAACTGGAGAGGGCAAAGTTGCTGTCCATGTGCGGGAATGACCCGGGAGAGAAGGGGGACCAGCCAGGATCTAGAGACAAGCAATGATGTGATGAACTCCAGTGCTCTCTTCCTTACAAAAAAACTCTCTCAAATTTGAGCAGCTCTGCACGTTAAGTGCTGGGACATTCACAGACCTTGTGATGAACACTCACAGACTGCACAGTTATTACATCTGGGCACTGCACTGGGCACAGACTGGACCAACACCCAGGAGATCCAGGATATGACAGAACCAGGGTTGACTCTGGGACTGCTTTGAGGACTCTATGTGCCCACAGAACACACTGCTCATGGTGGGTACCTGAGGAGCATTGCCGCGCTCAGGACTGCAGACAGAGGTCCATCTTTGCAGGTGAGGAAGAGACTTGAAGAGCAGGAGATGCTCCAGTGAATGCCAGTGATTAGGTATGACACATTATTTTCCCCCCAGCATTTACACAGACTAATTGCTCTTGAGCTACCACCACCAGTGTCCTCAACTCCAAACATCTGTGGGCAGGCAAAGGAAGATGCTGAATGTTGCCTCCTAACTTTGTTCATGGTTCAGGCTGTCCTTGTCTTAGTGAGGGGTGGGGGGAGAAACCCTCTCTATTTCCTCCCCTAACTCTTTATCTGTTTCATATTAATAGGGGATTTATTATGTACAAATATCTGCTGGCATTCAATATGGCATTAATGAGATTTGTGTATTATTTCAGCCTCATCTTCCTTATCAGGCAGTCTGTGAACTACACAGATCATGGTTCTTTAATTTCTCTTCATGCCTCCAATCCTTTAATCCAGGTTCAGCCTAGTCGTCCTTCTATTTTGTAGCTCTAGATTGTAGGAAGGGCATTATATGGTAGCACTCGACCTGAACAAAGTACTCTAAAGGGAGTCAAAGCAGTATATTGTACAGTGTAATTACAGAACAAATTCCTTTGCCTGGTGTTCTGCTGTTCTATTTCTGCCTTTCAGCATCCAATTTACATTCTAATTGCTTCTCCTCACTGTGTAGCTGCTTTATGGAGCTATAATCTCTCCTTATTACCTTCTAGCCCCAGGCTCATCCCTCTGAGTGACTCCAGAGCCAGTATGTCCCTGCTTTTGCTCCCCAAGCCCAGCAGCACATTCCCTGGCTTCAGACACTTCCAAGACGGGCTCAGTGGATGCATCACATTTAGCTGGAAGAGATGAGCCCTTTGCACCAGATATGATAAGCCAAACTGGATGCCTGAACACATTAACTGAAGGAGTATTTGACCCATATGGGCTTCCTGTATCTCTGCACAGTCATAGAATCACAGACTGCTTTTGTTGGAAGGGACCTTAATGCTCACCCAAGTTCCAACCCCCTGCCATGGGCAGGGACACCTTCCATTAGAGCAGGTTGCTCCAAAGCCCGGCCAACCTGGCATCTCCATAATGAAACATTCCTTAAGCCAGGCATATGGACTGGTATAAACCACTATGTCAGTGTTCCCAGGATGTGGATGATCCTGTGCCACCAGTTCTGCTAATTACTGCAAGGTCTCTGCATTCCTAGACTTCAGAGACATGCCGATGCTGTTTCTTGGATATGGAAAACTCCAAGCCCTGATAGGCTGAAAGGCAACAAAACTGCGAGCAGAGTAACTGCAAACCCTGTGTGATCTCTGCCGTTGCTCTGATAAAGTACAATATCCAGAACCCACCAGAGCTTGCTGCAGCTTTCACACCTCTTCATTTTGTTCTGCCCTCACCCCATAGCAGCAAGTACCATCCTCCTTGCCCCCAGTACACAGATCTGGAGGATAGGCTGCTGTTCCCCCCAGGGAGGAGGCAGGAGCACAGGACTGGAGGGACTACACACAGAGATGCCATGATGGGGGCGGCTGCCTCAGGGACACCTGGAGAATGTGCTTACACAAGACATGGACAAGTGTCTTTATGTTGTCACTGCACCAGTGAGACATCTGTGAGAAAGCAGCCAAGCAGAAGATGGTGAATTACAAACAGAGCAGGGAGAGATGAGAAAGTAAGAGTTTAACAGGAGGAATCCTAAGTTGGGGAGAGGGGATTTAATATATCTCTGCTAACGTTGAGTCAGACCACAGAAACCTGCCCCCTCCAGCCCTGTTCTGTGTCCAAAGTGACCTAGGTGAACAAGCCCAGATACCATGGGTCATTTTTAAAGAGAGAAGGAAGAAGCTGCAGCCAGCAGTAGCTTAAAGTTTTCAATAGCTCACACCTTGCCAGCGAAGGGCCATCCCCCACTTTGACACTTCAGCTTGGTCCCTCCCCTGCAGCTCCTCTACTCAGTGTCATCAAGAGCTACATCTCAAAATGCTGCATTTCAGTACCAGATACCAGAAGAAGGAATAGGATGCTCAGGACACAGCTCAGAGGCAAGCAGGAATTGCCAGAGAGGAACAGTAAGAGCAGAACCCAACACCATGGAGTGATTGCAGCCACTACCCTGAGCCAAGCTGCACTGCTCCTCAGGGTAATGTGAAGTCCAATTACTCCACATCAACCAGCTTATGCTCTAGTAGTAAATAACAGCCATGAAACACCATCTCATAACAAATTACCCTGAATGTGTCTTCATTACATTACAAAGATGATAAAAGAGTTGCTGAGCAACACATAAAACCTGAACTAAGATTTGCCAACAAGAACTGAACTGGAACCGAGGAACCGCACGGATGAAGAACTCAAGGGACGCTATCAAAATCTAAATCACAATAAGATTAAGAACTTGGATTAGAATTACCGTTATAGAATAGAAAATGTGCCTATCCTCAAGCCACTCGTCCTCCCGTGCCACTCTGCTCAGGGCTTACCTGTAACATGAGGGCAGATGCAAGCACTGAACATGAATCTCAACAGAGCAGCTGTCTGTTAGAGTGCACAGGTCTGTGAAAGGTGAATTAATTTGTAAACCTGTGTTAACTCACTTGAATTTCGTTCAGGAGTCAAAAAAGAACAAAGTTCTGCCACTAGAAAAATATCCTGTTTCTATGGTTTTGAATATTCTGAATACTGCCTTTGAAACAGCTTCTGCTTTGAAACTTTAGTCATCTCTTATGTACTAAAATAGAGAACAAAAAAGGTGTCTTAGAAACAATGTAGTGGAACTGCTCCTTGGCATTTGCTTTTGTAGACAGCTGAGAAGGAAATGAACACAACTGCTGAGATGGCAAATTCTTCTTCTGGGAACACATTTCAGTCCTTTGCAGAACTCCACAAGACACAAGCACAGAGAGGGACTTGTGTGGGCAAAGGCTCTGCTGCCCTGCGAGCAGTTTTGCTTTGTTTGCTTCCATGAGAAGTACCCTTTTTGCAGAAGGGATTTAATCTGCTGTAGGAGTGACCCATCAATGCTTACGCACTGAGTGTGCCCTAGATTCTGCTGGATAAAAGGAATGAGTAGAGTGATGTGCTCTGTGTTAGCATTGCACGTTTCCTCTTCCTAAGAAAACCAGTAAAGTTTATGGCATTTCCTGAGTCTTGCACTGTCAGCCACTGCTACGTGCTCCAGCCTTTGAGGATCTTTTTTGCTGTAGGTGAGGTTACTGGGGCTTTGGAAATGGTGAGCACAGAGACTGACACACAAGGGGGTGAGCATCAGGCAGCGGCGCAGAACTGAGGTGCCCAGCTTACCTGCGTGGGACTGCATGTGCTCCAGGAGATTGTTATAAAACTGGAACTGGATTCCACAAGCTCCACAGGTGTAAGGCTCTGTTTGGGAGAAATCAGTTCAGAAGAATTACACAGAGTATGCAGGGAAGCAGCACATGTGCATACTTCAGTTTGTATAGTAGCAGGGCAGTGCCCTGTGGTCCTTGTCACCTCGGCCCATGTGTGCACGTCACAGCAGCTCCTTAGGAATGAACCTGAAGGCTCGGTCTGTGATTTAGGAAGGCACTTGGGCAGGTCACTGCTTCTGGGCTGGGGTTGGGCACTTCTCCATGGGCTTCACTTCACTTCACTACTCCACTGCCACGAGGATGGCAGTGGGACAGCTCGTGCAATAAAGCAAAGCTCCTGCTGGTGCATGTGTGAATCTCAGTGACTTTTAGCAGGGCCTGCTGTGACAGGACAATAGGTGATGGTTTTAAACTAGAAGAGGGAGATTCATGTTGGATGTGAGGAAGAACTTCTTCACAATGAGGATGGTAAAACACTGGCACAGGTTGCCCAGAGAGGTGGTGGATGCCCCATCCCTGAAGACATTCAAGGCCAGGCTGGATGTGGTTCTGAGCAATCTGATCTAGTTAAAGATGTCCCTGCTCATTCTGGGGGGTTGTACTAGACGACCTTTCCAACCAAACCAGCCTGTGATTCTATGAATCTGCACAAAGACTGGAGAGGCTGCACTCTGATTGGGGTTTACTAACTCATGCCTCTTGTGGGCTGTTTCAAGCGTACCTGTGTTACTTCTAAACCTGAAAGCAAAGATGGTGAACTCATTTTATGTCCAGTCTGGTCAAATTGAGTCTCTGCTGCCTTTCCTGAGACATGGAGCAGCAGGTTATGAAAATCCTGTTGCTCAGAAGTTGGGGGATGAAGTGCCATGGAGGAACTCAGCTTGGGGTTTTTTGTGGCTCTCACAAGTGCAGCGAGTCTGGGGAATGGTGAGTGCCACTGGGCTTGGCAGCAGCACGGTGCTGGGTAAATAGAGGTGGAGGGGAGGAAGCACAGGAATCAGAGCTGTGCCAGGGCTGAGAGCAGAGCAGGAGAGCCATGTTGCCAGAGTACATGGATGAGCTGGATTCAAGAAAGAGCTGGGTGCAGAGCTCCCTCATGAGCTGAAAGACACGTTTAGTTCTGTTCTAATGAGTATGTTAAAAGTGCATTTCTTCCACTGCATTAACCTAACAGCAAATGTTTGCAGTTGCTCCTTAAACAGTATTAAGTACATTAGTTGACAGATAGAATATCAAACTACAGTGGCTGAAGTTCATTAATGTTGCAGTTTGCTTCTACACCTCCAGATATACCAGCACTTCTTATGCTGTTGCATTTTGTTTCAGAACAGCAGAATGGACAAATGCAAGCATTTGGCATATAAACAACTTCACATATAAATGCCTGGCACATACACAGAGCAAGGTCTATTGCTACAATACACTAGGAATCTCTATCTATACAGTACAATGGGAAACACATATTCTCCATCAATGAATAAGCAAAAGCAGCACCATCCAGGATGGAAGAACCAAAGTACAGGAAAGCACAAGCCTGACTTGGCTATGATATGTAAGAAGTCTATCGCAGGTAGCGAACCCCAGAATTTATCAGATGGCTACAGGAAGCTGTGAGGAGAAACACAGAAGAGACCATAAGGGATTCACGTAAGCTATACTTGTACACCGTAAGGTTGGAGGCCCTCCTGTGCCTCTCCACAGAGCCACCAGCCCTCTGAACCGATGGAACCAGCTCCATCTGTAGGGGCTGTGCTCAACACTATTTAACTCATGGTGTTTTCTTTTTATGGGTTTTGCTGTAGTGAGGAAGTTTGGAAATACTGTACTTAAGTAACTGTGCTTGTGAAAAACAGGGAAGACCATGGCAGTTGAGAGCACACTTACAAATTTCACTCGCATACATCCAGCACTCTCCAAGCACATGTCTCACATCCATTTTTCTAACTACATCCTCACATTTCTTCCTCTGCTTATTCTGTCTCACCAAGCTGCTTTTCCTTCCTCCTGGTATATTCTCAGCTATTTTATCACCAGAAACCTGCACTGCCTTTCTTCTAACTCTCCCCTTGCCTGACTTAAGGGCCCTTCACTCCTGACCAGTTTTCTGGGTTCTCTCCATCTCCATCCATCAAGGTCTTGGCTTCACCTCAAGATTCCCCCTCTGCCACTACAACATACTGTGCACTCAGGGACTCTGAAAGGTCTCTCATATGCGATTCTTCTCAGAAAAATCTTGTGGATTTCCATCCCATTTCCAAAATCTCCCCCATTCTGTTCCACCACAGAAACGTCCACCTCTGGAAACAAAGACACTGCTGACTCTCAAAAACAAGGTTCACATTCAACATTGTCTAAATACTTTTAAGACCAAGAGTCAGAGAAACCTACAGTTTGCCACAAGCGAAGGTGAGCTGAATTAAAACTAGGGATAACATTTAAACTCAAAAGTTGTTCTCGGGGAGGAGGGATGGGATGCTTGGGAGGACATGCAGAATTCGTGTGGGAATGAATGAAGCTCCTTTACTTCACAGGGCTTTCTAAATCCTCGTACTTCCAAGGTTTCAGCTTCTAAGCCCCTTTATGCTCCATAAAGCAGGGAGCTGGGAACAGCCAGGCTGGCTGGAAGGAGGTGGGACGTGTCAGGGCTAGAAGAAGGAGATAGGGCAAATGGAGAGAAGGAAGAGGCAATTTGTATCTAAAACCAGGCAAAACCCACAACCGGAACAGAACTCCTCACCTGGGCTGGCACATAGCAAATAAATCCCCCTCCCTTTGATTTCTGCTTGCAACTTACAGTTAACTGGAAATGTCAGAACTGCTCTGCACACCCCTGTGAGCCCCACTTGTGCCTGTTCTCCTTGCTGGGAGCACAGCCCCCTCCACAGCACTGTGTAAGCACTCTGCTTCCCTTCCCAGGGGGGAATTTCAGCCTCTCCTCTGCCCTGCTCTGGATGCTTCCCTGCATCCAGAAGGGATCTGTTCTCCATCAGGTGGCCTGAACTCAGCAAGGGGCCCGTGACTGCTCCAATCCACAAACCTCTCCTTTCCCTCTCAGCTCTGCTGGTGATGGCACAAGGAAAGCTAGGACCCATTTGTGCTGCTCACACCACTCCCTGAGAGCATCTGTGTGCTCCAACAGCCCCAGTTGCTTTGGGTGGCCAAGACAGGCCTTAGGTATGAGCAAAGCAGGAAGAGCAGCCACACAGTCAGAAATGGCTCAGAGACTTCTAACCCCCAGCAGGACTGCCTGGACAACCTGTGTCCCACTGCTGGAAACATCCTTCCTCCCCTCCTCAAACCCTTCACTGCTTCTGAGGAACCAATTCCTCTTGTTGCTCCTCATCTGAGGGGTGGGAGTTGGGGCAGGAGCAACAGCACCCACTTGATGAGAAAAACAGCCATTTACCCACATGCTCAGACAGGGTCCTGGCTCTCACTTGGGCCCATGGGCCTCTTTGCAATGCCAGGTGCCGTGAAACGTCTAGCTCTGTTCCCCTGGCATGGGCTGGGAATGGGGGTGCTCTGCTTTCTCCATTACACTCCTGCTGTGCACTTGGCTTCCTCAGGCTACAGGCTGGGGCTCCAGTTCACACCAGTAACCACAGACCCCAGAGCCCTGAGCCCTCCTGGGCTGGTGCAGAACATGGGCTACATCATCCCAAGACCCCACTAATTCCCAGCAGGCATATAGGGCTACTGCACTCACACAACCTTCCTTCATCTTCAACTTGCATCTCAAAAGTGAGTGGAGCACGAACTCACCAGGCTGCATCAGCAGCTTTCCCCTTCTCTCATTGTTTCCACAGCTCACTCCTAGTAACCACTGCTCAACCTGAAGCAGCTGGGTGATGTGTTAACACAGCCCAAACCTTACACAGCTACAAAAGGTGGAAGGACACAGGCAAAGAGCTCACCAAGACTGCCTTCAGGAGTACCCCAAGCTTTGGTTGCTCTTGCTGTATTGGCCTGTGACCAAGGCACAAGGTTCTGCAGTTCATATGGATCAGACTGTGGCCTCTCTACTATGTGAGGAAGAAATTTTGTACAATGAGGGTGGTAAAACACTGGCACATGTTGACCAGAGAGGTGGTGGATACCCCATCCCTGGAGACATTCCAGGCCAGGCTGGATGTGGTTCTGAGCAATCTGATTTAGTTGAAGATGTCCCTGCTCATTGCAGGGGGCTGGACCAGGGGAGCTTTGAAGGTCCCTTCCAACTCAAACTGTTCTGTGATTCTACTATTGACAAAAATTTCACGTTAACTAAACCATGAAAATGCTACAATGCTCAACTCTAACCCTGCAGCCCAGCATCTCACGCTGCACATCTCAGAAGATGAAATGCAAGGCTGCTTTAGCCCCTCTACCCACCTCCAGAAAGCAACCTTTCCACACAGCCAAGCCCATAGCTGTGAAACTGGGACAGCACTCAGAGATGCTGCATTTCTGCAGGCTTTGGGATACATCTCCAGCTCTCCCATATGGGTTCATACTCAGCCCCAGCTAAGATGCACTTCCCTACAGCAGCACAACAAGCTCTAGAGCCTGTGCAGCAATGGGATCCTGCCTCTGAACAGCCCTTCTGGTGCAAAGTATTCGAAATTTGGAAGGAGGAGGATACCCCTGAACATGTCCTGTTTGCCAGCAGACAAGAGCTTTTCTCCAGCCAACTGATCTCAGTGGAGTCTGAGTCTCGTTCTGAATTTTCCCACAACACAGAGGGGTTGTGTAGTGGAGAGCACAAAAAACCCCACTGCAAGCGGGCAGTGCTGTTGGAACTGCAAAACCCATCCCAGGGCACCTCTAACAGCCCCTTGCCAGCTCTGTGAAACTCAAGCACTGCAGCATCCTCAAACAATGGCATCACACTCTCCAATCAAGCACCAAAGAGCTTTTGTCCTGCAGAGAAGAGGCATTTGTCTGTGGTGCACTGGTGTTGGTAGCTGAGCACAGAGCACTCCTTCTCCCCAGAAGCATCCCCCTCCCGCCCTGGAAAACCAACCTCTTCTGTGAGCCAGGCCCCCTCTGCTCTGAACACAACATGCTGTCACGTCACCCTCCTGCTTGCCCAGGTACCCTCTGAAAACACCTTCACAGAAACCTAAAGCACCAGCAGCCGCTGAAGCCTCTCCATTCTCTTGAGCCACACAGAACGAACAATCACAGCTGGTGGCACAATTTAAAACATCTTTCTCTAGGGCTATTATTAGACACTTTTATTAGTGCTTTATATATATGCAGTGAACAAGGCTCCCAAGTAAGACAGCAAGGCTGTGTAAGCCAAGCCAAGAGAAAACCCAGTATTTGTGCTTAGCTTAAATAAATCACTCTAATTCCCATGTTAAATCTCATTGCCACATCTAAGCCAGAGAAAATAGCAGAGCCTGGTTTAAGGCCAGGATTGAACATGAGTTGAGAGGTTTTAACAGAAAGTTTCAACAGCAAACACCCTGAGTGAAGCCTAGCACCAGCTCGGGGCCTGACGACAGCGCAGGAAGCAGACCCCCATGCAGCTCAGCGCCCTCCTCCACAGAGACCCACATTTCAGCACTTCCGTCCACATTCTGATGAAAAACAAATGCAGAAGAGCTGCAAGGGAAACTTCTCAGTCCTTCTGCCCACTCACTGTTTCCATCGGCTTCACCTTTAATAAAAGCAGAACTGCATCTTTCAGTTCTTTTGACACAAGCTGATGAAACAATACATGAGGACCAGCAGCAGTCTCCTAGAAAAATGCCACCACACCAAAATAAGTGGGAATTTCTTGAAATCAGAACTTCTGTCACTTCCACCTGTCTCAGACAGTAAGAAGTACTACCTAAAAAAGTGCTGTGGAAGATGCTTTAAGAAGGGGAGACCCAAATGCATCAGGGTTGTCAGACTTGTTGGCACTAATCTGACTTCTCTTCCAAGGTGAGGTCTTCCTGTTCTGAACAAAGCTTTTGCTTCTTTCTCAGATTTGTGAGCGAAGAATGACCAAGCATTCAGGGTGCTCAGGGTGCAGCCCTCAGTGCTGGCCAGCACCAAGGGACAGAAGTCTTGGGTGACAGGGTTGGCGCAGACAGCATCATCCCTAGAAAGCAGACACAAGCCAAGTAGTAACCAAACACACCATAAGGTGAAGGAAGCAGCTCCTCCTGTTGAAAGCATCCAAGAACATAAGGCAGAATCTTCAACAAACACCCAAACTTGCTCTCCTTCCTCCCCTGCCTGCTCACCACCATTCCCTGGGCTCCCATTTCTCATCTGTGCTCTCAGGCCAAAAGGTGTTTACTTAGCTGAGCCATGAAGATGAGTTTTCCTGTGCACAAATGTAACTCAGACATGGGTTCATTTTCAGGTTTTGAACCTCAGTCTCTCAGAACATCTATTATTGGCATCTTCCATCAAACTGAACTCCCAGAAGGCGAGCCTAAATGGTCTCACAAACACATACTGCACAGAAACACCCTGAAGGACTTCTGCTGCGTTTAAAGCTGAAACCAGAGTCACAGAAGTGAGACATTTCCTTCTTTAACAGCTGGACTTGCAATAAGACCCCCATTTATTCATGAGAAATACCAGAAGGGCAGCCAGCAGGGCTGCAGGTGGAGGTGCACTCCCAACATCCATCACACTTAGTTGTAAAAGTGGGAAAGGATTTGAAATCAGGGGACTTGTGGATTCTGCAAAAGAGAAAGAGATTTTAACATTGAGCCTGGCAGAGCCCTCGTTGCCTGCTGCACAACTCTGCCTACCTGCTCCTGGCCCTTATCCTTCCTTTGCACTTCCAGATGTAACTCTGGCAGGATGGGGGTCTCTGCTGACTGCAAATTATGCCATGTCCAGCTGGGATTTGTCTCTCTGAGCCTTGTCAGGTTTCTCATGGCCAGGAAGCTGAATCTTTCCTTCCCATTTTAAGATGTCCAGGGATTTTAACACACACCCTATGCTACAGTAACATAAACAGTCAAGTGGGGAGGGCTCACGGAAGAAATATTAAAGGGGCAAGAAAACCTTTACAATTGCTTTTTTGGGGCCCCCCAAAAAATGCAAATCCTCAGATTCACTGTGCAGCTTCCTCACACTGAAGCTGGGAAGGAAAACCAGGATGTTGTAACTTCACTGGATGGTATGTCAAAGGAGGGAGTTCCTAAGCAGGCTGAGAATACACATTCCCTGCCCAGCATACCTAGCAGATTGCCCCTCTTTAAACTGAAAGGATTGGAAACCCTGGATGCTCAACTAGCCCTGGTCAACCAGGGGCTGTCTGTATGCAGCCTGCGGTGCCCGGGAGCAGAAGCAGTGATTCCCAGCACCTCAGACCCTGGGCAGTATCCTACAGGTGAGGTCCTTTAGTACCAAACCCCTGCAGAGGGGAAGAAACCATTAATGTTAAATACTCGGTCATCAGTTCAGTGCATTTACAGAATGGTCCCAGGTCCAAAGTTATGATTTGATGCAGCAGTGAATGAAGCTCCTGGGGCTGACAGACTTGGAGTGGTTTGCTTAGAAAGAAAACTTTACTCATTAACCACACGGATCAAGCACTGGGAGCCTTTGCGCAAAATATTTCCACGTGAGGAGGACTTGAGCTGTTGAAGGGAGCTTCTGCTGGCAGGAGCAGCCAGCAAGGGATGAAGGCATGGGTGATCCTTGGTAAAGACATCAACAGACAGTGCTATGGAAAGGGTATGTGTGGAAGTCACTAGCTGGATAACAGAACACTGCTTGGTCACTTAACACATTTCTACTACCCAGCATTGCACTAGGGGCTATTTGCAGCTCATGAGGTCTGTATTTGGGGGAGGATCTTCATTGAAATAGGTTCCTAATCTGGTCCTACAGAGCATCTGTACAGTTCAGGCTCCTCCAGGTGCCATTTTTACACTATCTGTGCTCTCTGCCTCTGATTCGGGAAGTGCTGTAATTCAGTGAGCACAGGGATGCTCGCTGGACCATCCCATGGCTTCAGTACCAGGCTGGACAGGGCTTGGAGCAATGTGGTTTAGTGGAAGGTGTCCTTGCCCATGGCAGGGGGTTGGAACTGGATCAGCTTTACGGTCCCAGCCTGTGATTCTATGATTCAGGTTTTAATGGGCTCCTTCAGCACTGCAGAGACAAGGGAGCTTTTAAGGGCCCAAACCCAACATTTTACTGTCCCCCCAGAAGTGAACCTGATCTGGACAAGGCACAGCAGAGGCAAATCTCACTTCACACACTGAAAGGAATTCTCAACACGCTCTCTGGCTGCTTTCCAGCCAGAGGCGCCAACATAGTCTCCTTGTTACACCTGACTTCCTATACACATGAAAAACATTGCCAGTCTGCAGTAAGAGCTCAAGCCACTTGCTAAGCATTGCTGCTACAGTATGTTAAGTGAAGAAAGCCTGTGGTTGGATGTTTCCCATCTTTGTATTATGGGCCATTTTGTTATCCATTCACTGTAATGTCCCTGCCTCAGCACAGTCAGTTCCACTAAACCCACCTGCTCAGAGAACAAGCACAGAAGCGTCATAGTTTGAACAATAATGATAGTTAGCTTTGGCTTGCTCTAGGGATTTGCTCATCTCACTCTATAGATTCTCCAGGCAAAACTGAAATGGTTTTCTGCCCATATGCTGGTCTGTCAGTGACTCTTTTTTTGCCATGTCCTGTCCAGCCCCAGGACAGTATCTGTGCTTGAAGAGTGCAATCCACAGCTCCTGTCACCACCTATTTGTTCCCAGTTTTGCTGACTGCTCACCCTTTTGCCACAATGTCTTTCAGATGTATAGTCTCAATGTCCTTCCTGGTGTCCCAGGGCTCTTGAGCAATTGGCAGGATATCACCCACAGAGACTTGCTGCTGACTGGTTATTTTAACCCAGATTATCTTTCTTCCTGTCTACAAGTTGCCTGTTGAGCATGACAGGTCTGGAACAACTTAAATGAATGTGGCACCAGAAATAAACCATTCCCAGAAACCTCAATTCCATGCAAATGCCCAGTGGACACAGCAACTCATATTTATGCAACAGAGCAAAGCAACACTTTCTTAACTGAAGCCTCTCTCTCTGTTACTTTTATTCTAATGGTGAGAACTGCACTCAGGTGGTCATCCTTCATCTGGCTGCTCTGAAAAGTGATCTTCTATGCATGTGCAATTATATTGCCCCATCATCATCATTACCCATGCCCTGCACAGCTTAGTTACACCAATGTGGGAGTTCACATCACAACCACCCCTCTCCCCCTCTCCCTCGCTCCTCAAACTTGGTCCTTAGCAGGCCTGGACCTCCCGACTCAGTGGAAAGGCAGCAGTAGGTGGCTTGTACCGTTTGCAGAGCAACCAATCAGTAAGAAAGAGATTTAGCAAGAGATGAATCACTTGAATAGGATTTGTCTCAGGAGGCAGAGGTGCAGGGAGCTGGCTGTGCTACCATCAGACCAAGACTCCTGAGCTGCATCAAAAGTCAAAGGAGGTGATCCTGCCCCTCTACTCTGCTCTCGTGAGACCTCACTTGGAGTATCGTGTACAGTTCTGGTGTCCTCAACATAAAAAGGACATGGAGCTGTTGGAGCAAGTCCAGAGGAGGGCCACAAGGATGATTAGAGGGCTGGAGCACCTCCCTTAATAAGACAGGCTGAGAAAGTTGGGGCTGTTCAGCCTGGAGAAGAGAAGACTGCGTGGAGACCTCACAGCAGCCTTCGAGTATCTGAAGGGGGTCTACAAGGATTTGGGGAGGGACTCTTCATTAGGGACTGTAGTGGCAGGACAAGGGATAATGGCTTCAAACTTAAACAGGGAAAGTTTAGATTAGATATAAGGAAGAAGTTCTTTACAGTGAGGGTGGTGAGGCCCTGGAATGGGTTGCCCAATGAAGGTGTGAATGCTCCATCCCTGGCAGTGTTCAAGGCCAGGCTGGACAGAGCCTTGGGCAACATGGTTTAGTGCGAGGTGTCCCTGCTCATGGCAGGGGGTTGGAACTAGATGATCTTAAGGTCCTTTCCAACCCTAACTATTCTATGATTCTATGATAATTATTATGCCCCTGGCATTAAAGCTGCACTCACCCACCAAAAGTTCCAATCTAAAAGTCAAGTCTTCCCAGAAGAAACCCAACCAAATCAGCTATAAGATCACTGGACTACAGAGAGAGAGCAGAAGAGGATGTATGGGCATCAACAGAGAAGAAGGAAGATCCCAGTGTCTAACACACCTGGCTGACTCCTGTGTGTGCATCATGAGCACCTGCACTTCCAGTGCAAAACAGCTCTTTTGGTACAGAAGTTTGGCAGGAGCCACTGATGAGGGTCTTAGTCGGGGCTTCCATTGGGATGCACTGGGGATCTGGCACTGTAAGGGCAGGAGTAGGAGCCAAACTCCTCCTACTGCAACAAGTGGACATCAGGTCTGTCCCATCACCAAAGCTGCAGAGATTTAAATCATGAGCAGAACCCTGATTTGCACTCTGTCTTTTTGCTGCTTTCCATAAAACTAAAGGTTAGTTCTGCTCTTATTGCTAAGCAAGGCACAGAACCTATTTCTGTTTGAGATTGCCCTAATTAACACACACTAAAAATACTGGGTTATGTGCCAAGTGGTGAATGAGATATTTCTGATTATCCTTGTGCTTGAAATGGTTCCATGCTACAACTGGATGGAATTATGAACCATAATATATTGTAGGATCCTAATATACCGTAGGATACTGCTTTTGAGTAGCTAAACAGAATGGTCTCAAGTGTGCTGCATAAACAGGAAAACAAAGTGCAGTACTAAAAAATGTTTTGCATTTCAAACTGGATCACTAGAAAGAAATATAGCCCCTAAGATGAGGAAATGAGAGACTGGCATTC